GTGGGGTTGTGAATGATGAGTTGTGTTTTCTTTTTACTTGTTCGTTTTATTCCCTTTTTCTTTTCTTTTTTTTTTTTATTTTTTTGTAGTAAATACCCTGTATATAAATGATTGCAAATGGAATGTGAAAATTGAATAAAATATTTTATAAACAAAGATGTCTCTGCGGTCAAGTGGCCGGCATGACTAAACACCGAAGGCACACGGAACTCTGTTACCTTCTCACCAAAGGTGGTTCCTATTTTTCTACTTGCATTTTTACATCCTTTTAACTGCTAGGTTGGCAGAAGGTGGGACAAGTAACAGGAGCTCACTCCGTTATGTGGTGCTAGGGATTCGAACTGCCAAACTGCCGACTTTCTGATTGATAAGCTCAGCGTCTTAGCCACCATGTCCCTTAGCCACCACGTCCCTTAGCCGCTATGTTCCTTAAACGTAGATATGTAGATAAACATGGATATGTTCATATGTAACTCTTGTTCTTCTCACTGCAGTCCTCTTTTTGCTAAATAATCCAGATAAAGTCAAACACTTTATAGCATAAAAGTGGAAAGATGAAAGGCTGTATCTTATTTTCGTAGGCAAAACCTTGGTGGGAGTTATTAATTTTAAATAGAAAAGAAAATAGGACCGGCAGTGAGATGAACAAGACTTATAAAAAAAATCAGAGAACGAGATAACAGCACATTTCTCTATTCAAAATTTTGATTAGAATTGATTATAACACATAAGCATTTTTATTAGGTATAACTTGGTCAAAGGCAAGAATTCTTTTTTTTTTGTCTGATGGCCATATTGAGCAAAACACCCATCTCACGAAAGGCAAAATCTGCCTTTCCTCAGTTGCTTCTATTATTCTAATATTATTTTTCTCCGATTAATTTATCCCACCATCTCATTATGTCTCACTGACTACATAAAACCATAACAGAACAAATTCCCTTCCCATATTCCTCTGTACATAGTTAACGAAAGTTTTAAAAAGCTTCTTACTTCCAACAAAAACATAAATTCCGCATATGCGCTGTGGTCTCGGTGCTTTGCAATCACATTCAAATGTCTGCCTCCCAAAAGTATTCAGTAGAATCTGGGCCCTGATTGAAGAATTCGGAGAGCTGCTGCTACTGATAATAGAGTGGTTGTGTAACAAAACGATGTTACAATGCCTACGGTAGAAGCTCTTGTTTAGCCAGCAGGACAGATCCACCGTTGATTTTAATGACAGCTCTGTGCCATTTGCACTCATGTGTCCCCTGGAAGGCAGGAAAGAAATCAACAAGGTGCAGGATTTTTCATGTTATTGTTTTACTCTTTTATGATTATTGTATTTATTGGTTTTCCTTTTGGGAGCCGCCAAGAGTTGAGGCTATGCAAAAAAGGAGCCGTATAAATCTTTTAATAAACAAATATTAACTTCTTGCAACAGAAATAAACTGGGTTTTGGACACCGTGTTTTGCCCTGTGCCAGTAAAAATGCTTGTGTAGAGTCCCCAAATATGGCAAAACAAACAGCCCACAAAAAGGACATCTACAGGAGGAGTAAAAAAGAAAAAGGGGAAAAAATCAGAACAACAGCAGAACTCCATAGTCAACCATCTTGGTTTTGTTAACATCACATGGCTTCCATTTAGGGGTGGTATTCAGCCAGTTCAGAATGGTTCGGGTGAACCGGTAGTTCCGACAATCACCTGAGCGCGAACCAGTTCGCTCCGCCGATCGGGAGCCTGCCCCTGCGCTTATACTGACCTATATTTAAGTTGTAAGCCTCCCTGAGTCCCCCCAGGGAAAAGGGCGGCATATAAATTTAATAAAATACAAATACAAATATATTTCCTTTGTTTGAAGCCCAGCTGATAGGCACGGCAGAGCGGATTGCCCGCCTCAGCTGTTTTACTCACCAGGGCTGCAGTAGAAGGTACGTTTTTGAGCTGTTTTCAAATGCACTGCATGCGCACGAAGCATGTATTTCACGTATGCGCAAGCAAAGCGAGCACACGCTCAGTGAACTGGTTACACTGGTTGAATCCCACCACTGCTCCCATTTATGGTCTTGGCTCCCATAAATGCTCACATTTACTCTTATTTACTATTATTCTTGATCCTGGAGACTACATTCAAAGTCTATCATTAGTGTAATGTTGTTATATAGTGTTTTCCAGCTGGCGTCCCCCCCCCCCCAAAAAAAAAAAAAGTTGGATTCAAGGTCTTTTTAAATGCAGGACCAATTATTCTGATGGCCCCAGTTAAACAGCCCCTCTTATCAAGTATAGTTTAAATTTTGAAATCCCACATAGATACTTTAAGTGCCTCCCTCTGTTTTTAGGGCTACCCATAATGTTGTAAGCTGCAGGCAAAAGGCAGCAGATGGAAGGGAGGTAATATTCTGCTCTTGGTTTCTGTCAATCATTTAAAGGCCCTTGTTGGGCTTTGGTGCCCATTGTGTTAAGTGACCTGTATCGATTGGGGATTACCAGAGTGAAATATATGGCACAAGGAACATCTGATTGAAGGAAGCTGCTCCAAAGTTGAAGCCTTCTCTTTTTTAATCTTCTCAAAACCAAGTACCAATTTTGTCTCTACATTTGTCTCGGCTAGTTAGCCATTAAAACATTATTGGGCAAACCAAGGAATCTTTTACCATTCCCCTGCTGCCTTCAGATTGCCTAGCCAAGTTTCCAGTGTTTACACAGGCAGTGATAGAAGACAAAAATAGTGAGTTCACTTGCTCATGAGCTGCAACTTCCTGGGTGTTCTCCTCTATAGCTATTGAAAGGAAATCACATGTGCTTCTCTGAAATGGTTGTACAGGTGAATCAGCTACACTGTGAGATAGTGGGCTGCGGTCACTGAGAGAGAGACACATGGAGAGGAGAGGAAGGAAAGGCTCTGCCAAATTCTAATGCTGTCATCTCCACCTGCTCTTATCTCTCCTTCCTCCCACTTTTATCTTAGAAATTGATTTGGCGGCAATAGATCATTATATATAGAACTATTAGGGAAAGTTTTTCATGTTAGCAGTTTAGCTTGAATCTGGATTTTCTTGATAGATATTCTCACTGTTGTATGTTGTGTACCAAAAATAGCAGAACCGCCACCATTTCCTTTGCGTGCCACATCATAACTTTTACATGTCACACAAAGCAGGGTCTGTTGAAGCTCTCCTCTAGAGGGTTTGCTTGATTTTTTACTAGACCCAACTAGAGTAAAAATCCTTAGAATGGAACAAAATTTCAACTCTGAAAAAAATGCAAGAAGCTTATTTCTGCAATAGCCCTTTGTCAACAAAAGAGTCCATATTTGCCTCAGTGGATGTCACAACCAACTGTAGAACTATCATAAAAGGAATTCTGCATCATTTCAGCCACCTTAAAAACCCAATGGACAGAAGATATGTATATTTATTTTGGATTTTTTAAAAAATGTTTCTATTATTTCAAAATGTTTTTATTGTTTTAACTGTGGCATATTTTTTTAGTTGTAAGCTGCCCGGAGTCATTGATTGAAATGGACAGCTATAGAAACTGAATAAATAAAATAAAATAATTTTTTAAACTATTTTCTTTTCAAGAAAAAAAGATGCTACTCAACCATTTACTCTTGCATTCTTCTGATAGCAAAACGTCTACTCCTAGAATAAAAAAAACACAAAGATGTTTCATAATAAACAATTTCAAAACCTAAATAATTGTAAAACTAAAGAAATATTGTTTGTACAGATTTCATTACAGGAGGAAATTATGGGATCTGCTGACCTGTTTGGCAGCATTGGCTGCAAAGGAAGCTCAAGCTGAATTTTTCCAAAGTTGAATAGACTGGACTTAGACCTCCCATAGTCAAGAAATGAGAATCCAGATCCTCTTCACATTAACATACCGTATTTTCCAGAGTATAAGATGCACCTTTTTTCCTCAAAAAAGAGGCTGAAAATCTCGATGCATCTTATACAATGAATACAGCATTTTTTTGCCTCCAGAAATCCCACCCCCTTCACCAAAATGGCCATGCATTGCCTTTAAGAGACTTTCAGAGTGCTCCTGGGGGCTGGGGAGGACAGAAATGAGTGAAAAACAGACTGTTTTTGCTCATTTTTGCCCCCCGAAGCACTCTACAAGCCTCCTAAAGGCTATTCATGCCATTAAAAAAAACCAGGCCTGTTTTGGCGAAAAACGGGTCGTTTTTGGAGGTCTGCAGATGCAAAAACTTTTTTTTAATTTGCCTCTTCAAAATCTTGGTGTGTCTTATAAAATAAGGTAGTTCTTTCTCTAAATTTGCTGTTCAGACTATCTAGTAACTCTACTGCTGATTGTACATTGTCTACATCAAGTCTACATTACTCATTGTTTGCATCCCCAAACTCTAATCTCAGGCAGTTCTCTATTTAAAATAATGAGAACATGGTCAGTACCTCTAAAGTTTGGATGAAGCTTTTGTTCACATATCACCCTCCCCACTTGGCAGACGACTTTATGATAGGATAGGAATATTTTTCCTCCCGTGACTCTTCTAGATTATTGCCCTTACTGAAGATACATAGGCTAAAAAAGTCCCAGATTTCCAAAAACACACTCACCTGCTCCCAAGAATACTAAAAAACACATTTTTAAAGGTAACCTTCCTATGTTGATCATCTTGGTATCTTCTGCTGAATTTTTACTCCTGTTTTTTTAAAATTAAAAATCAATCGATATAATCAGCAAATAATCCTTTAAGGAGGAATACACTTTTGTATTTTTGGCACAGGACTGAAAAGTTGGCGTTCACCAGAAACAATCATACTGCATTGGAATGATGAAGTGTGGATATTCTTCTAAAAGCAGATGCTTCTGCCAAGAAACCAAATGGTTTGGATCCACGGTTTGTCTTTTCTTGCAGAGTCTTGCCTTTCCCAAGCTGTATTTTCTTCTCTGCTTCTCTACCCATCTACCCACCCCTCGGTTCAGGAACAATACTTCATGATTTATGTGATTCGTCATGAAACCTATCTCTTTGGTTTCTTTTTCTTTTCAGTGATGAGCAATATTTTCCAAGTTTTGTTTCTGGGTTCATGAAGACTGAAACGAAACAGAGGGGAATTAGAGGAAAAGCCTTATCAGGTTTATTAGATTTACTTTTAAAAAATATGAGGGAAGGAATCGGAAATAGGAGTTGTAACCAGATAGAAAAGTGTTGTTTCTAATATTCAACACTGTGATCAAACTCTAGTGCAGGAGTCACCAACCTTGGCAACTTTAAGACACATGGACTTCAACTATCATGAATTGTTGCTAGTTGCATGCTGGCTGGGGAATTCTGGGAGTTGACGTCCACAAGTCTTAAAGTTGCCAAGTTTGGGCACCCCTGCTCTAGAGCAAAGATGATTCAGCTAGAAAATCTCAGTCCCAAACGGGTGTGATGTGAACCCTAATTTTTTTTAAATCACTGCTGCTCACCAAAGACTGTGTCTCTACCCCAAGAAAGAACTTGTGTATGTCTGCCTAGTTTCTTAATCTTGGAAGGTTTCAATGGTTGCCACCAATATGGTTTGTGGAAGCCATCAATAAATCATAGGTGGGGCATGTCTATTTTTTAAATGATTACATGAGGTTCATCTTCAGAAGTTGGAGTGGGAAACCGAGCCAGGTTATAATCTGGTGGCTTGGCTTGGCACATCTGATGTACCTTCTCAGTCACATACAATTTAGATTACTTTTATAAACAAATCATAGATATTGAAGGGGGAAGTTTAATGGGCAAGGATTTACCTTCATTGGCAAGACATAAATCTTAAAGGCTCACATTTTGTCATTCTTTCACCACCATACAATGGTTATAAAAAGTCTATACACTCCTGTTAGAATGCCAGGATTTTCTGATGCAATAAATAAACAAATCAGACCAAGATAAATCACTTCAGAATTGTCCCCCCCCCACCTTTACTATAACCTCTAAGGTGTACAAGTCAATTGAAAAACAAACTGAAATCTTTTAGGAAGGGGAAAGTAACAATTAAAAACATACAATAGCAGGCAATAACTCGAACTACAGTGAAAATTGGACAACTTTATGGAAGGACCTTTGCTTGGGTACCATCTCCCACATGGAATATGGAAAATTTGGACAAGACTGAGAATAGAGGTGTCACGATATAAGAAGAACTTGAATAAATGGACAATATCACAGGAGATGGAAGCTATGAATGTGGGGATTTGCAGAGTTTTGAATATTAATTGATATGCCATAATCTTGATGGATCAAGTACAGTGGATGATTTGTTCCTGGTAAATGATAAAGCTATTCAGGTTGCTACTTTCTGGGCCTCCAATGCTATGTAATATCATATAAATATTTTAAATCACTTCTGTGCTGAAAATAAAATGCACATAAATGTTTGTGCAGGAACTATAAACAAGTTAGTCAATGTGGAAAACATGCAGCATAACATTAAAATAAGTACAAGATAGATATCTATATTGTCTAGGTAGTTCATTCCTTTTAAGTGGAAAAGTGTGTTACCTGTGAAACCATTTCCCTTGCCATCTTTTGGAAGGAGCAAGTGACTATCTGATGAATATCTGACTTCCTGAGATAATTTCCCAAGTATGACAAAACAGGACATCAAAAAGCTATTTCAGTTTCTTTATCTGTCAAAAGAATAGACTGGATGAGTGATCAGTTCAGGACATTAAGAAGAAAACTGGTCTCTTTACAAAAATTATTTTCCATGGGGTATAGCAGTTAACAGAGAGGAACTAAACACAGCTACCTATGGCAGCATGCAATGTACACACACACACACACACACCACAACACACACACAAATGTTGGTGGATTTCTAGTACGCTTATAAGTCAGAACAAACTTAACATGTTAAGCCACAAAGATTCACCTTTGGGCAAAGTGAGCACCATTGTTTCTTCTTGAACAATTATCCAAACCAATACTTTATTTTTGTTATGTAATTGGTTCCATTTATGTTTACACTGTTGGTTTTAGTATTCATAGATTTGTAGATTCTATGATTCTTTCATGTTGTTCCAGTTAATTTGTACTATCTGATCTTCTAGCAGTTGTACAAGGATATTTGGAATTATACTTTCATAGCTTGATGTACTTGCTAAATTTACCAAGGGAAGCAATCCTAAATATATGCTCCCAGGTTCCTTTGTTTTATTAGTTTTCCTGTTTATCATAGAATCATAGGTTTGAAAGGGGACATTTATAATTATCAGCCTGGTGCAGAAATTCAAATTAAAGCATCCCAGATGGATGCTCTCCGGGGTCTGCTTGAATGGAACCAAAGAAGATGAGTCAGTCACCATCTTTCTTGACAACTAAGAGATCCCACTGTCCTTAAATGATGTAGTGCAGTGGTTCCCAAACTTGGCAACTTTAAGACTTGTGGACTTCAACTCCCAGAATTCTCCAGCCAGCAGGGCAGAGCTGGCTGGAGAATTCTGGGAGTTGAAGTCCACAAGTCTTAAAGTTGCCAAGTTTGGGAACCACTGATGTAGTGTGACAGAAATGTGTTGGAAATATACCTTTTTTGGATGAGGTCTGTCTTATGGTGCTGAAATAAAAAAGTTGGAAAGGACGTGGCGGACGATCAAGTTCAACCTTCCTGCTCAATGCAGAGTCCACTATCCATTATACCAATCTAACAGGTGATTCTCCAGCTTGTCTTGAAGACCTTCAGTGAAGGAGAACTGATGATATCATATAAACAGCCTGACTATCAGCTCATATGGTCAGGAAATTCCTCCTGATACCAGTATTTACCCTTGTAATTATAAGTATCCTATTGTAGGAATGGCTTTGAGAGATGGGAGAAATGCTGCCTTGGGAACAATGAAATAAAGGAGGAGAAGGGTGAGCTCGCAACTGCAAAATGGGCAGAGAAAGAAACTTAGAAAGGATCTATCCTATCAGGCTGTAAAAAGAGATGGTGGTGGGTGATTTGTACTTTCAGACTTGCAAAATTCTGTTAGTGTAGCCTTACACTAAAATAGAATTAGCTAATTTGATTTGTTTCCCGTCTGATCTACCGTCTGATCTACCCCTGATCTACCCGGGAAGGCTGATCACTCCAGATGGTTTTAAATCACTTGTCCTAGTCCTCTGGCACAATAGAGAACCATCTGCTCACTCTTCTGTGTGACAGCCTTTCAGAAGTTTGAAACCTACTATTCAATCATCTCTTCCATAGGTTTGGTTTCCAGACTTCTCATCACGTTGATAGCTATTCTGTGCTTTGTTTTGTCATTAACCTTTTAGAACTGTGATGCCCAAAATTGGAAACAGTATTCCAAACAGTCCCCAACTCCAGAGCAGAGTAGAATTGAACAATTTCTCCCCATAATCTGGACTCTACATTCCTGTTAACACACCTCAAGACAGCCTTTACCTTTTTAGTAGCTGCATCCCACTGCTAGCTTATATTTAATTTGACACCCAGATTCCTCTCACACGTACTATTGCCAAGATAGGTCTCCCCATCTTATCCTTGTCCCTTTCAGGTTTCTCCCCACACCCAGATGTGCAACTGTATGTATCCCCTTCATTGGTTCCATCCTATTCATTTCAGTCCTTTTTGCGGAAACCTGGTATCCAGGTATTTTCGAACCTTTAAAAAAAATCTCTTCCAACGTGTCCCTTTCAGCTTTAAATCATCTGAAAATTGATAAGCATCACATCAGATGTCTAACCCAAGCCGCTGATTTAAAAGCACCACCAGTACATCTCTCCAAGCTGAAGCCTAAACATGAACTCTTTGCCTTTGGCGCAACTGTGAGTCCATCTAGCATCGCGTAAGACCCAACTTTTTATATTTTATTATTTCATTTAAAGGAATAAGGTGAAATCAGATGACAAACTTTTTGCTACATACACTAAGTCTATCAAGAAAGGAGTTACTAATAGCAGCATGCCTATTGAAGAGCTTCGAGCCTCTCACAAGTTTTTACTTAAAAATAAGAGGGTTTCACCTTTTGCTTCTTTTAATAGAAGGGCAGCTTTTAGTAGCACTTTCTGTAAAATGGTAACAGCTAACAAAGCCTGATTAATATAGAGACAGAGGCTGGGTAATATTTTGCTCCTTAAAAAAGAAACCTTAGAACAGTGTTTCTCAACCTTGGCCACTTGAAGATGTCCGGACTTCAACTCCCAGAATTTCCCAGCCACAGCCAGCATTCGCTGGCTGGGGAATTCTGGGAGTTGAAGTCCGGACATCTTCAAGTGGCCAAGGTTGAGAACCTTAAAACCTGCCTTAGAAGAGGGTCCATTTCTTTTCTTTTTTCCCCTCATTTACTCAGGGGTTCTTCCATCTTTGTTTATTTTTAATGCTACTGCTGTTCGGGCCATACACTCGATCGATCTGATCCCCAGAAATGGAACCGAAGTGAGTAGATGAGATCGCTCTGCTTGCAAAAGATTCCAGGGCAGGATCAGGCAGTTTTACCCGGCGGGGAACCCACCCTCCCGTCTTTCCCAAATCTTCAGCGAATCGGGGAAAATCTCTCCCTTCCCTTCCCTATTCAGCTCCGTAGGGCGACTTACCCGCAGCAGGGCATTCGCAACAGGCAGCGTGTAGCTCATCACTCCGCCGGCATCTTCTCTGCTGTTTCGTAGAAAGAGAGAGAGAGAGAGAAAAAGGAAAAAGGGAGGGGAGGAGGGAAACAGCACTCCGCCCGCACCATTCTTATTGCGGACGCCTGAGGAACTAAATTCAGCATTGATTTAATCTGGCCAATGGGCAGGCAATTTAAAACAATGTTTCGGATGGAATTGATACGGCATAGATAAAAGACAAAGTACAAAATATTACTTACATGCACGTGTCCTATTAGAGTGCTAAATGCATGAACTATCCCAGCCATGGTACATTTAAAAATTAAAGAAAAGCCTATTGCATAGAGTACACATCCCCTAGCAGCTTATTATTAAAAAAGAAGTATCCAAAACTGGTATTTGGAGTAAGCAGCCTGCAGTAGAAAGCACGGCCGAGGTCGGGACTTAAATGTTGAGAGGGGAGATGGATCCTGACTGAAACGTCGATTTTTGGAGGCTGAGATTTCCCTGCTGAAAAGATCCTCGATTCCCCATTAACCCAAGGTCGCTCCAGAGTAGCTGTTCTCAACTTTGCTTCTTCTCTTTCCCCTTCTCTTTCTTTTTCTCCTTCTTTTTCTTTCTCATTTTCTTTCTCCTTCTCCTCCCTGTGTTCCCAAAATTGAAGTGAAGAACCATCACAAACCAAGAAAGGAATTTAGAAAGCAGCAACCAGTTCAAAATTCTCAATTCCTAGCTAGGCATTTCTCTTCTCTTTGCTTACTTGTTTTCCCCTGAAGACCCATTTACTTTAGGCCAGCTATGAGAACTGTTTGACTGTACTGGCTTGATTGTTTCTCTTCCAATCTCTGACACACAATTCTCTCTCCCTCCCACCCCAGGAGGATTCCCCAGGGGAATGCAGCCCTCAACAAAACGAATCAAAACAGAACCCTACACAAAACAAAAGTTATGGGATAAAATATTTTGGGAGAAGGTGGTGCCAGCTGTGCCTTTAGAGCTGATAGAGCTGGATAGAGCTGGATGCCTGGTTGTTGGTAATGCATTCAATAGGAGGGGGCAAACAGAAAAGAAGAAGCTGGGTCTCAGGTTGAATAAATGCTACTCTCTACATCCTGTGAAAGGTGGACACTTCCAGCTTCTTCTGTGGGATCATCAGCCCCAGTCAAATGGCTTTGTGAATTTTGGCTTTGTGAATTTGGTGCCACCGTGTTTAATTTAGGTCTATTTACACGTATACATTTTCCAAGTCTCTTCGCACTTAACCCTACATTTCCCAAGTCTCTTCGCACTTAACCCCTGTTTGGTTCATAAAAATAAAGTGGGAATTAAAATCTAACAGCACAGGGATTTTAATGCATGAAGGGTCCCCTAAAACTAGAGTTAAACTTCTACTTTTTAATGCATCCACACAGGGGTTGACAACAATACAATTGTTTTCCTTGGCTTTTTCTATGATGTTTTTCCACTCTGGAACTCTGGCATCCCCTGGGTCTTCATTCAACCACCCTCCACTCATTCCTAGAGACTCTTGGGGAAGCCAGCTACATACTAGGTTACTTTGAGACACTGATATGTGAATATTTTTCATGCACTTCAACATTGGGAAGAGTCTTATACCAGTGCACTCCATCCCATGAGTGAGTAAAGAAACAGTCAAAGCCAAAGGACACTCCAAATTAATATCAGTAATTCCTTTGCTAAAACTGATCAAGATTTAAATTAATCCATAATTATTCCTCAACCAAAGTCTGCCAGATGCCTGTGAAAAGGAAGATTGCAACCAAGGTAATATGAGCGCTTCTTTCTTGCTCTTTAACCTCAGCAACTCTGTAGGTATCATGGTTATTTATTTATATTGGTTAGATTGACATCCTAGCTTTCCTCTAGGAGCAAAAGCTGGCATATATAAGCATTCTTTTCTGAGCTGAGAGAAGGACAACCTTAAGGCCACACAGTGATTTTCCTTGGCTGAGGGTGGAGTTGGGGTTAGCTCTCCTTGGATCTTAGTCCAACACTTTAATCCTGACACATTTAATTTTATTCTGCTTTTGCTTCTAGAAAGGACAGAAATACTTAAAAGTGAGTTTCCTATTTTTGTATTGTTAAGTTTAATTCTCTTATTTTGGTAACAATTGACTAAAATTCTTAATTCTCTTGTTATGGTAACATAATACTGGCTAAAATTTGTATTTTTCTGCAGATTTTTCTATGCATATTATATAAAAAAATCTCTAAATACAGTCTTTGCAGTCATCCATAACCAATGCAATGAAACAAGACATGCTTGGTGCAGAATTTTATTATTTTTTATTGACAGTTTGCTTTGGAAATTTTGAGGGACAACTGATTTTCACTTTGTATATTGGTTAATAATCTGAACCTGGAAATTGTTGCATTCAGGTGCAAACCAAAGAGTTATCCTCACTGATATTATTTGCTCCTAATAAATGTTCTGCTGTCTCTTTTCTATTGATACAGATTTCCTGGACTGGTTAAATGGTATATTTCTTCCTGATAGGTGCTGTTCACCAAGACAAAAATCTATTTAATTTTTTCACCCTTCCCTACCCCACTCTCACCAATTTAGGCAGATAAAGAGGAATGGGAATCCTATTGTGAATGAGTGAATCCTACCTTTATCCTACAGACAAAAGCATTACCGTAGTAATTTCTATTTGAATATAACAATATTTTCCCTTGGAAGATGTCACCATAAAAAAGGCAGTCCTGAACTTACAACAGTTCATTCAGTGATTTTTCAAAGTTATAACAGCACTGAAAAAAAATTACTATTTTTCACACTTACCGACAGTTACAGCATTCCCATGATCACATGATCAAAATTTGGGCATTTGGCAACTGGATCATATTTGTGTTGGTTGTATGTGATCAGTTTTTGTGATCTTCTAACAAAGACAATGGGAAAACCAGATTCACTTAACAACCATGTTGCTAACTTAACCACTGCAATGATTAACTCAACAACAGTGGCAAGAAAGGTCATAAAATCGGTCAAAACTCTCTTAACGCAAGTTTCCCTTAGCAACATAAATTTTGGGCTCAATTGTGGTCGTATGTATGATGAAAAACAAAGAAACAAACCAATCATATGATTAATTTTAATAGGAAATGGAGAGAATGAAAGAATAAAATTCTGTTTCTTACATTTATAAGAAAATAAGTTTGTTACATGTTATTTTCCTGCTTTTAAAAAGTTCTGAAAACATATAGTCTGTCATTAACCTGTGTAGACAGCCTTATATATAGTATAGAGGGACAGCCTGCTTAAGCCCTGCTATATCTGCTTCCCAGGTTTTGTGGGATGAAGTCACGGCTAAAGATTTCAGCCCGTACTAGTAACCGTAATGGAAATTGTGTGAACGCATGATTATATAAATAGTTCCACTCCCCTTTCGTTTTCTTTTTCCAACTTTCTCGATCTTTGGTTTTGCACTGCAAATTTCATTTTCGTGAAGAGAGTTACTAATAAGAACTGAACAATCTATTCCCATAAAATATGCTCACACAATGATTTTTTTTGGCTACATCACAATATGTTTATTCGGTATTCTCAGAAGACTGCACTTTCTGTATTGCTTTCCTGTAACATAATTAGTCTGATGCATAACCCTAAGTTTTCAAAAAATAGATTTTGGTCCCACCACCCCATTGCTTAAAAAAACAACCTCTTGTTATAACCCTGTAATCCCTTAATTTACGGATTAGAGTTGAGGTGATTGGATGGAGCTGAGCATTTACTGGCTGGTTGCCCTTCCTGATGCCTATGCAGAGTTTGTAGTAGATATTTTCTCTTTGCACCCTAGAAACATCTGCTGCTACCTAGGATTGAACTCTCAACCTTCCAAGTGTGAGGCGAGTGTCTTCACCATTATACTACCATGCCTCTCACCATAATAATGCCTAATAACTATCAAAACTTTTTTAATTTTATTTAATAGCCTCACAATGTTTTGCCCTGTTAGAAAATTAGGTGATTTCTAAAGGCCATTGAGATGAACTTATTTTGTATTAGGTTGGTAACCATGATTTTCTTCCACTGAATGTTGGTTCCATCCTTTTACTTGGTTTGTTCAGCAGCTCTAAATGTAACTTCTATTGATTAACCTTCTATTTAATTTAATTTGATTTAATATTAGTTCCTGAAAGCATCTTGTTTTTTGTATTTGTTCTTTAGATCTTTAAACAATTGAGGTTGATGAAATCTGCTGCTGATAGTTATGTTGTAGTCAATTTAACTGACAATTAAAACAATCGATCAACTTGATTAATCTAAGTTTAAGGAAGATATTTAGAATATTTAGATGGGTCCTAATCCATTAGTTATTTATATGTCTTGTTCATCTGAGATATAGCACATTAGTTATAATTATAAATGAATATAATCCAATGCCTAAATGTGATAAATGGGAACTTTCCAGATCACAGTAATAGGCTGGGCAGAAAATGTTTTATGATCAGCAGTGTTTCATTGAAATACTATATTTTTTAGATCATTTTTCTACTGCCATTTGATGCTCTTATTTAATTCATGTCAATTTTGGATGCCAATAAGATTTAATTCATAAAAATATTTCTCTCATTTTAAACATAAACTAGTCTATTCAGTACTCTCCCTACCAGGCATCTGGAAGCTTATAGAAGAGTAAATTTTAAAATTGCCAAATCTGGATGATCAAGATATAAAATAAAATTATGGATGATTAAAAGGTGAGATAGAGCACTATTTTTTTTGCTGTCATGTCCATTGATTATGTTGATTTGTGCAACCCATATATGACAGGCAATTCTAACAAATTCCAGAACAGTAGCTATATTAATTTTATACAAGAGAAATGGGGGGGGGGGGAAGCTTGTAGCATGTTAAAAACTAATGGATTGTAGCATTTTTTGGGGCGGTATAGAATCTCTTCATCAGGGTCTTAATTGAAGTTGAGGATAAAAATGAAACTTGGAGATGGAGTTTAATTCAGAAAAGGGAAGATTATGTATTTAAATATACATAGTAAGCAACAATAAACAATTTTAATATCTCATATTAAACCCGGGGCTTGTTTTCAGCTTAACATGATGCGTGAACTCTTTGTCATGGTGGTTTCTAAAGCATGGTTTATGCATTATATGTGAACCATTATGTTTTGTTCTGTGAAATATTGTTAAAACTGTGCTTGATGTGTACAGCAATGGGACTTACTTTGAGTAATCATACAAAACTTGTGTTTTAAGTCTTTATTGAATCATAAAATACCCTCTTCTTCTTGTGATACAAGGAGAATTTATCTAGTCTTTTTTTTTTTAAAAAAAAAACCTAAATGTATAAAGCATTAAAAAATTTATTTTACAAGAACAAAATCATTCCCAGATTGTAAGAAGACTGACATATATTCTTATTTTATGGATTTAAAGTTTCAAAAAGAAAAGAATGACAAAAAAGATACTTTATTACTTTTATTTCCACTCCAACTGGCTGTTGCGGTTGTCTTACGATTTCCTTCCTGCATCAACAGCTACTAATTTTAGTTTCTAGAGTTATTGAGGTATTCCATTTCTAGGAAGCCATTCATGTTTTTGAGAATGTTCAAAGGTGACTTGTTCTGAGGGGAACAATATCTCCAGGCTAATTTTAGGGTTCTCAAAATGAGCTCCTTCATCAATACCTAATTTTCTTTTAAAAGACCATGAAGAGTGGGTAGATTCTACTACAATATGTATAGGAAAGAGTAAATGCCCATGTAATCCAGCATGTTCTTTTTCCAAATGATTAACTTCCAAAGGGAAGCCATCACATAGAAGTATCTCCACTGCTGTATCCAGGAACTGGTAATCTGTGCTCTTAACCTCAAAATCTAGAAATAGCAATTGTGTCTAGTAGCCCTCCACCAATATGTCCTCAATCTGCTTAATTTCCTTTTAAAGCCCTCTAGGTTGGTAGCCATCATGACATTCTGAAAAAGTTAATTTATAGTCCAACTATATTTCATGTGTTTTGCTCTTTTACTGTTCCATATCCCTCAACATTCAGTATCCCTTGTATTATAAGACAAATTAACAACAACATCATCTCTGTCTATTTTCTCTACATCATAACTGTCTATAATTTTAAAAGGTCTCTCATAAACTATTATTTTTTCTAAACCAGACAGTGAGTTTTCCCAGTCTCCTTTCCTCCAACTTTTTGATATGTTCAGTACAATGTTTGCAATTGGGCACCCAGAATTACATACTCTATTCCATATATGGTCATACTGTAGATTTCTATGGCATGGTACAAACAGGCTTCCTTAATGGTTGGATACCAGAAACATTTTGCACCTCCTCATCCTTTGAGAGAGTGCAATGGTGGTTGGAAGAGAGGGATCCATGTCATGGAGGTCAGGAGAATTCCTAGGATGATAAGAAGAGCAATTTGCTCTTTCATCCACAGTGAAGAAATAGCCACTTAAGCAGTCCTCGGTAGCTTTTCAAGCAAGGCCAAATTGGCCCAAGAGGAGCAACATGTGTCATCTCCTAAACTTCAGGGCTAAGCTTGACTCAGTTCAGCTTGATTGAGTCCTTATGATGAGAATAAAAGGATGCACAACAGTTTATTTCTCACTGCTAGTGAATAGTTCCAATAACAGAGAATATCTGTAGCTCAGGGTTGAACTACGCTCTCTCAGAACTGATGATGTTACCTAGATGGGTAATGAAACATCATAGTCAATAGTGATAAATAACTTCTTTGGCTCTCAGAACTTTAAATTTGAGGAGCCTCCTGCTACCCATTAAAAATGATAGATATTTGGCATGGTCTTTGATGACTTCAGATCCAAGGAGGTACTGTGTGCCAGATTGCGGACACAACATATCTGGATTTAGTCATATTTTTCTGGCTGATCCTCAAAACTGGGTTTCCCCTTCCTTTATATTGATTGTGAGCTGAGGTATATCTTGTACATGCATCCTGTTGCTATGGTTCAGTTGTATACTTCCTTGTTGTGTAATAAGTTGGGCTTCATATACTGCAGTTTCATTTCATAATCTTGAATTGTAAAGTAACTTTATCATAAATCATTTTCCCTTCTGACTTGTTCAGTTGACTTTTGGATCTCCCCTAATTCAATGCACACATTAATTACAATATAAACATTAGAATTAGAGGTTAGAATTAGAATAACAGAGTTGGAAGGGACCTTGGAGGTCTTCTAGCCCAACCCCCTGCTCAGGCAGGAAACCTCACACCATTTCAGACAAACAGGCTCTCCAATCTCTTTTTAAAAGCCTCTAGTGATGAATCACCTACAACTTCTGGAGGCAAGTCATTCCACTGATTAATTGTTCTGTCAGGAAATTTCTCTTTAGTTTTAGGTAGTTTCTCTCCTTGATCAGTTTCCATCTGTTGCTTCTAATTCTGTCTTCAGGTGCCTTGGAGAATAGCTTGACTCCCTTTTCTTTGTGGCAACCTCTGAGATATTGCAACACTGCTATCATGTCTCCCCTAGTCCTCCTTTTCATTAAATTAGACATACCCAATCCCAGCAACTGTTTTTTATATGTTTTAACATGAATCAACCTGTCAGAGGAAAACTGAGATTGTGGCTGCAACGTACTTTTTTCAATTTTATTCAAACAATGAACGGAGAACCTTCAGTTACGCTGCTTGAAAATGCAGAGTTTCCGTCCTTTGTGCAAAGCATATATCCTTTTTCTTCAACTGTCATAGTAAACAGCGTTTTGAGGGAAATAAGACATGTTGGTCCGGTCTTCACTCATTGTTTTTAAGCAAGGAATTAGATTGTCTGGTATTAAAGTCTGTTCTTGAATATCTTCATCCGAAAGCAGAAGCCTCAACTGGTGTGTCTTTTGGGTTCTTGGGTCTTCATCTTTTGAGCCGCCCCTGCTTTGCCCACTTCCACTATTCCTGAGAATAAGGCTGATTTTATCAAATAAAGACTTATTTTCATTTGGGTCGACAATAGGCCATGTGGGAGCCACAGGACTGGTGTAATCTTTTCTTAAATTGTTTATGGGCGTAACAATTGAAATTGATTTGGTGTCCCAGTTTTGAAAAGGTGTTTCACCGGTGGTGCTGGAACTAGTTCTCAATTGAGCCTTATTAGAAATCTGAGGTTTGTACCCATTTCTTGTAGTCACATCCAAATTGCTGGCAAACAGTACATCTTCTGAGCTACTGACTTCCTCAGAAACTGTTTTGCTTCCCTCCTTTTTTTTCTCCACAGCCCTATAGTGGTCCTGCCTCAATATTTCTTCAACTTCAGTTACCACAACATCCAAAAATGGCTCGGAAAAATTGTCTGTCACAGCATCATTTTCCTAAGCAGAAAAATAACATAGAAAGTGTTGAATATTCTAGCACTCTTGTGGGCACATCATAAAGGGTGGAAAATGGAGGGAGCAGACACCTATTGAGGTACTAGCAGCATCACAGGATTCTGAGTATAGATAGCTTTTGACTTATGATCACAATTAGGAGTTGTTGCAGTCATAAGTTGAGTTGGGCCCAATTTTATGGCAATTTTTACAGAGGTTGATAAGTAAATTCTGCTTATCAACCTCTGCCTTTGCCTTTGTTTGCCATAAATCAGCCAAATTGGTTGCAAATTGTGATTACGTGACCACAGGATGCTACAACCACTCGTAAACGTAACCTGGTTGCCAAGCACCAAATTGTAATCAGAAAACCATAGTGGTGATTCAACTGTCATAAGTGTGAGTACTGACAATAAATCATTTTTTCTGAGGCCTTTGTAACTTTGAATCATCATTAAATGCATGGTTGTAAGTTGAGGGATTTATATCATGCTCTGCTCAAAAAGGAAAGGGGAAAAATGGATATCTAAGTACTTCCTGGTTTCCTCAAACATAAAAACATTTTAATCCGGAGGGAGGAGCCAATGTCGCGATGAGATGGTTGTGTGGTCTCAATGCTCTGAGACCACAGCCAACACTTTTGCCACTGGGTGGTCCAAACGGACCTAAACCATCCCGAAGAGACAGTGAACAGGAAGAATACGTCTTGCTGATCTCAGGGATATCGCAAAATCCTCGAAAGAAGCAAGAGAAGTTCTTCAAGCTGGTGACAGAAAATCCAGCCAAGGCTGACAAAGTCGGGCGGCTCCAAAACAGAAGGATGCGGAAAGAGAAAGTGTTTCCAGCTGGTGAGGAATTGTTATTGTTTTAAAAAAGAGACTGCCTATAAAAACTCAAAACCCTATTTAAATTAAAGAATAGAAGAATTGAATTTGAAATGGTTTTGGACAGTGGTTATCTTACTTTTTACATGTTATTTACATGGATTGAATCTACCTTTTGAAATTGATAGATTAAGTTTTCTTCTTCTACCTTCTCTTTGTGACTCTCTGTAATTTACAGACTAAAGTTTTCCTCTTTTATTGTTGTGGGTATTTTTCTAACTCATTTAAAGATTGGACCACTTTTTCTAATTTGATATACAAAAAAGATACAAAAAGAAACTCTTTAATAGTGTCTCCACTCCGGAGGCTGGGAGGTATTGTTGATTGGAGTTTTGTGTATTCAAAATG